CGSCGCGAGCGCCCCGGCACGGCACGGGATGGGGGCCCCGGGCGGCGCTCGCCCGGCTCCCCGCGGCGCTGCCAGCGYCGGCAGTTAATTAGAATCGTGTCACTAAGTAAATGTGCTCTGACTGGCCGCTGACAGCCGCTCACCTCTGACACCGGGGGCCAGGAGACAATCCACATCAAACTACTGCAGTGTGACCCTTTTAACACACACAGTAAACTCACTGCACAGCGAGTTGAAGCTCATTAAAACTGTCTACTCTGCGAGCATCCCATTAACCCCACTGTTAAAAACACGCAATTCCTCYTCTTCTTTCCGAGGCCTAATTAATGCTCTGGATCTGGAACAATATCACACCCTAACCTCCCGAGATTCCCAATCAGTAAAYGAAAAGAGAGCGACGGAGCCGCAGGGATGCGGCTGAGCCGCCTTGGTGGCTCCATGCAGGGGCTGCCGACCTGTCCAAACAGGTAGGGCTTTTCCAGGGAAGCATCCCGCATGGATAYGAGCAACCCTTCTAGTCCTGGAGAAGACCAGGCTCGCTCTGCACTTGCATGGGGCTGGATGGCAGTGGGGAAAGGCACCTAAAGGCTGCCCACTGCTGAGCCCAGGCACCTGGTGGGCGCTTGTTGCTGCATCCATCCCATTAGCTACGTACCGGGAAASGAAAAAAGCCTGGGAAGAACAGGCACTACTACAGGGTGGTATTTCCTGGTGCGAACCAAAGCCTCGGTCGTGTACTTCAGGTGCACCAGCAAAGCACACAGCCTGCTTACTGTCTGCCCTTAAAAAAGAAAAATAAAGAGAAAAAAAAAAGAAAAAAAAGAGGAAAAAAGAAAAAAAAAGAAAAAAGAGGAAAAAGAAAAAGAAAAAGAAAAAGAAAAAGAAAAAGAAAAANAAAGAAAAAGAAAAAGAAAAAGAAAAAGAAAAAGAAAAAGAAAAAGAAAAAGAAAAAGAAAAAGAAAAAGAAAAAGAAAAAGAAAAAGAAAAAGAGAGGAAAAAAGGAAAAAAGAAAGAAAAAGAAAGAAAAAAGAAAAAAAGCCCCACACAAGACATTTAAAATCATAATTACCTGTGTGCTTAAGTCTAAAGTTAATAAATGGATCAAATTCTGTATGACTGATAGCAGGGTGTATTGCCTAATATCGTGTGTTAAAGACTCAATTCGTGCAGATTACCAGCTGCAAACACAGAAACAGTGGACAACTGGGGACAACTTCAGGGCAGTAACTGCTCCTGCAGACTCAGAAACTTCCTCCTYCTTTCACTATTTTCACGTCAATAACTGGCTCTTTCAGAGCTGAGAAGCAGCTGAGAAGGCCTGAGAAAAAATAAAGAATGTGCCTTTTATCTTTCCCATAATCATCAAAACAGACTAACAAAACTTACACAGGAGAGGATCAGATTTGCCACTTCTAAAATCTTGAGAGGGTGTTTTCCAGAAACACTCATTCCACTCACTAAGCACTGTTCTCACTTCTTGTTTCATATATCAAGTGCTTCTGACAAAAAAAAAAGTATTCTTAAATTCAGTTTTTCTTCTTCATGACGTGTATGTGAGGCAGACATGACTTTCCTAATAAAAATAATTTAAACTACCACTCGGSTTCTTTAACATTGCATTGCAATTTTCATCCAAAAGCAATACTGCTCAAATCCTGAGTAATAACTTAATCACCACCTCTTTAATAAGAAGTAGCAATATATAATTTTCTAATGTAAGAAATATCTAAAAACTAAGAGCAAAGTCTTATTATGTTATATAATCAATCAAAATAAATGTAGAAAATAGAGGATATTTGATGAATAAAAGAATAATCAGATTTAACACACGCGCAGTGGTAGGCAGAGCTGAACATGTTTTGATGGGTGCTGGTCAGAAAACCTTGACCTTTCTTCAGGGAAATAGGCAAAAAAAAAAAAGAAAAAGAACAAAAATAGAATAAAATCAATGATTGAATCCAGGAGCCCTGTTGGCTGATTTAAATGAGAACTAAAACCTGTGTTTTAAATCATTCTGATTTATGTCAATCTCTGCAAGTCCGTGTGGAGACCTCGATGAGAGGACACGGCTGCCTCGGCGGTGCTACGTGAGCAGAAGCTGCTAGCAGGCAAGCTCCCGAAATCCGTGTCCTTCCCGGAAACCTTTCATCAAGCCCACCAGGGAACGCTCCAGGTTTCAGGTCCCTGAGGGCTCCCCTGTCTCCGAGGTGCAGGTTCGGCATGGCCAAGGCCGGGCAGCAGACCAGAGGCACAGCTGGGAAAAGCAATGGGAATCTCCTTGGCAAGAGCAGGAGGGGAAGGAGGGCGGTGGTGCCGCTGGGAAAGACGTGGATCAAGTGAAGAGGAGCAGCCTGAAGACTTGTCCTCATGGGGAGGTCCTAAGTCCTGACAAAGCATTGGCTCCTCTCCACTAACACCCAACCTAGACCAGTAGCCTATGAACACCGGCCTTTGCTGGAGAGTCCCAAGGCYCCCATTAAAACCTGCAGCTCTTCTTTGGCAAGCAGCACCTCTAACATTTTAAGAACTTCAGTGCGCACACGACAGTAAAATGAATAACTTAGCTTGGCAAGACTCAACCTTATTTTGCTGASGGCCAAGAAATCACCAGATAAAAAGAAGTTCCTGACCCCAAGATCCTATAGCCAACACCAGAGTTCACAGACACTGAAACCACGTATGACGAGAGATGGGAATGAAGGAAGTCCTCCCTTGTCCTCGGTGCCAGATTTGGCCTGGAGGGAACCCTTATAATTGAAATATCAACCCACAGAAAGAAATAAAAGAACAGATTTCACTCTGTTTTGCTTCTTTCTTATCTCTTGAGGACTCCCTGCATTCTCATTCTCTGGAGCAGGATTTTCTCACTTATTCTGCCTGGCACTTATCAACAAGCTGAAATATTGACATTTTTCCCTTTCCTTTACTTTTCCCTCCYGTGAAACAACTGCATCAGGCCTCCTCTCTTCCAGCCTCAAGGCWGCTTGCATGATGCTTTGGTGACACAAAATATTTTAGTAACCCGCAGCAAGATTTGCAGCTTGCCTTCCTGTGGGCAGAGCCAGGGGAGAGCAACACAATCCCGCTCAGCTGTTGCATATGCACAGTCCTGTTCTCAAGGGATGTGGCCAAGGCTTCACTCTGTTCCCCCAGGGACCCCCTCTTTCCAAAGGTGACGTTTCCACTAAGCATCTGGTCTTGACCCTAAAGAAATCCCTGAACTCCCAGGGATTTGAAGCAAGACGAAGGAGAGGAGCCGGCGCATGGAGCAGCACTAGTCCCGGAGATGGGGAGCAGGCACCTGGTGACCCAGAGAATTACACAGCGGGTCTGAACACAGTGAGATGCAACTGGTCAGGAAGACAGAAAAAAAATCCTTGCAATTTGTCGGCAAAAAGAAGCGGCCATCCAAAACACTTTTCATGTCAGGTTTGAAAGGAAACATCCATGCCGCATATCCCTGCATAACTGGGCTGGAGATCTGCAACAYCTCCTGCTTCCTCCTGGACTCTTCCTCACCCATTCCCAGCTCCCCAGTTCCCCTGGATCCTACTGTACCCCAGTATCAGCCACCAAAAAGAAGACAGACTGCAACAAAGGGCTCTCACCRTAAATAAAATGAGGTAAGAGGCACAAAACAAGCCTGCACAGGCCAAGAGTCCCTAAGAACAGCCTCAGCTCCACATGTAGGACACACAGACGACTCCCCGGGTCTTAGCTCRCTCCCCGTGATCCCCCCAACATGGCACATAAGTCTGCTCCCAGGCAAGGAAGCAAATTTTAATGCCACCTCCGTCAATAATGCAACCAGATCCATAGTTCAAAAGGAGCTTGCTAATTAAAAGCTGGTGAGCTTTAAATAATTCATCTCCTTAACTTGGATTGATTGGAGAGTTTAATGGTTAGAGTCTTGAAACAATATTAAACAGCTTCCTCGAGGCCCAGGTAGCAGGTGACTTTTCCAAGCAAATCTTACCTTCTTGCAAACTTAAGTGCTCACAAGTGACAGCAGATAAAGGGCTAGGAGGCACGGAGAACACCTGGCTGCTGATCTCCAAGGTGAGAGGGTATTTCTCCAATACCCCCGGAGAAAGAAGATGGGCAGGAAAAATGCAGCCCTTTGACTTATGGTCCTGTGTGCATCCCGGGGGATGTGGGCCAGCTCCCTGGTACCCACATGGAGCTCCTGCCAGTCCCTGCTGCCCAGCTGGGCGCTTCCAGCCTCAGTGTCCCAGGCCAGGTGTTCCTCCATATCACTTTGACCCCYGCTGTGGAGGGACTAGGGGAAACATGGAGCTGTGCCAGTGTGCACAGGGGTCACAGCTGTTTACCTCGAAGCAGGCTGTGGGACCATGAAACTCATCACATGTGTGAGTGAACCAGAAGACTGCTGAGTTCTCCAGCTGGACCCTGTGTCCTCCCCCTGCAGAGCGAGCTCCCAAACCACTCTGCCCAGGAGCTGGGACACGTGAGAGCCTCYGTTCCCAGGATAAACGCAGTATCCAAAGCAGTTGGGGTACTGACCTGACAGGGAGCATCCAGCCCAGCCTGGGGCCCCTGCACAGCACCGGGCACAGAGCCCAGGCACTGCCTGTGTCAAACCCAGCCTGGGCACTGCCAAAGAGGGGAGCAGCCCCATAGCAGAGGGACGTGCAGGGGGAGGCCGAGAGCAGGACGTGCTCCCCAGACATCACCCACCTGTCTGGGCCGTGGGTGCTGCACATGTGCTGTGGCACGGGTCTGGACACACGTTTGTCACACGGGCGCTGGGACACAGAGGCCTGGAGAGGAACCACAGCCTGGCACAAAGATGCCARTTCTGGGAGTGACAGGGAAGTGAACAAGCAGCCAGGGATACACGGCCCAAACCAAAGCAGGGYGCTCGTCCTGCCCACCCTTCCTCCTCCCCAGCCAGAGACCCCCRGGCACTCAGGCTGGGTCTCATCACCGAGTGCGCAGGAGCAGAGCCGCGGGGCAGGGCGCCGGGCCGCGTCACTCACCTATCCCGCTGTGAGGCCTCCCTATGTGCTGTAGGTTCAGTCCTTTGTTCATGTCTAAGAGCCCGTTCTTTGGCCAACTCCCCATGGCAAAGCTGTACGCCTGCAAGAGAGAAGCAGAGGGTCAGACCGTCACGCAGCTCGCACGTGGACGCGCTTCAAGGGGCGCCCTGCGTGCCCGGGCCTGGCTGCACCGCCAGGCACGTGTGGCATCTACAGGTAACACATTCAATACAGATTCACACRGGACAGGCATGAGACGGGGCTGAGAGCTCGTTCTGGGGCTGCTGCAGCCCTTCCTGCCGCTCAGGCCTCCCTAAGGGCCACCMTCGGTGCTGCCAAGGAGAGGTGAGTTGGCAATGCCTGGGGACAAGCCACCCGCGGTGCAAAGAGACAAGGCCACACTGGGCCCCTGGGCACAGGGAGCCCGCTGGGGACGGCTGCAGAGCCAGGGAGCTCCTCATGCCACCCAGGGCCACCATGGGCCACCGCAGCCCTCGGCAGCCCCGCTCGGAGGGAGGTAATTTATTAGGGCCCCACGTAACCATTTACGCCGCTTTGTTACTCCTGCCTTAGCAAAACAGAGGGCGCCACGGATAATTAATAGACAGCATTGCTAATCCTATTGGGAGATGATTAGCAATTAAAACTCCTAATTAAGTCTATGCATAATTCACTGAAATTACACTTTGTGTACACTACAGCGAGGCCTTCCAGAAACGCGTGCCAGGATCTCCATGGCCGGCGAGGCTCCCTGAGGCCCAATGCCAGGGAGCAGGGGAGCCGGGCGGCCCTGGCACCCCTGTGTGGGTGACGGCTGCGCAGCTCCRCGTGTGGCTCCCTCTCCTGGGCTCCGGCCCAAAGAGCAGGGGCGCCTGGAGCAGCACCTCACCCTCCTCCCGCACCTGCAAGGGCATCCCACGAGCAACCAAACCTCAGCTCCAGGTTTAAGCAAACCAGGCTCCCGGTCCCAAGCCCCACACAGGCAGACACATGCACGGGGTGCCCGAGGAAGGCAGGCACCCCACGCCACGCGCTCCGGACCGGCGCCGGGCCCTCTTCGCCGTGGCCTTTTGCTTTGCAAACCAAGGTCGTTCGGTACAGCCGCAATACCTGAGCAAACTCGCTAAGCAGCCGCTGCGCAGGCTGCCCTGACCACTGAAGGTCAAGTGTGCACTTATGCATATTCAAAGCTGTCTGCAGGATCGATTGGGTTTTAATTGTTTTTCCTGGGGTTTTGGAAGGAAGTGCCAGGGGCATTGATCAGTCCCAGGCGAGGCCGCTCGCACGCGGGGCCTCGGGGAGGCCGTCCCTTTAGCACAAGCAGATGGGGATGCTGGTGCACAGGGGCAGAACCCCGGAGCTGCCGCGGGAGAAGCGCGCCGGGATGTGCCATCCGCGGCTCGCGCTCGAAAATAAAGCTTTTTAATTAAAATTGGCAATTCTGAGCCGCCTGCCGGCAGCAGCCACACAATCAAGAGAGAGGAGCTTTGCTGTTTAATATTTAAACGCAACGTTTAATCTTTAAACAGGAAAGTTCTTCTTCTGACTGTTAAAGCAAGACAGAAGCGCCCGGCGCTGCCCGACACGGCAGGGTCACGGCTCTGCCGCCCGCTCCATCGCCACCGCCCGCAGCGGGCGCATCCGGGTCTGCRCTTATCCCTGGCAAACCGGGAGAAAAGCGGATGCAGCTCCAGTCAATCGAAAGCCAAAGGTTTTAAAAATGCCGTGAGACAGCAATTTGTCCCTCCAGTTTGTCCCAGGCTGCAGGTGCCGTGTTGCTCCTCTCCAGGTACAACATGAAGGRGGACAAGACCCCGAAGCATCTTCTTTATGTCTACCTTCCAACTGATAAAAACGCAGGCATCTTTATAAAGACTATTTCAAAACACTTCTGGGCAAAAATCTGAATGAAAAGCAAACACAGCCAAGCTGAGCTGCTGAAAACTAGCAATATTGCTTCTACAAAATCATTTGCAAGCAGCCTCAGCACAATAACTTCCACGCATTCACACCAGCTCATAGGAGTCTCCCTTTTTTCCCCGCTTTTGTTTGTAATTCTGCGTTTACCTCCCTGCCAAGGCTCCTCTGAAGTCAGATTATTATTAATTATATTTATTTGCTTACACAGTCCCACAGGCATACGCAGCAGTTCGCAGACAAGCACTACCCCGGGTCCCCRATGCAGGGCTCTCAAATCAAAGGTAAGCAGATGCTCTGGTGATAAATGCGAGCTAACAGCAGCAGGGGATTAGGAAACGTACTGTATTCTCATGCATAKAGGCAGTACCACAGATAATCCATGCCCTGCAAAAGTGCCAGCATGGGAGGTAAGTCCTTAGGTAACCCGTGCCTTGGACAACCTGCAGAAAACCCCACGCAGGGGGAATGGGCAGTGGGGACAGGTGGGAGCTAGTGGAGCCTGCAGCATAGGGATGTTGGGGGCCAGTGTGCCCCGTTTTACCCAGTTTTACCCATCACAGCATCCGGGCTGGTTCCAAAAGCACAGAGGGATGAGCTCCCACTCCTGTAGCATCGGGTGCCAATCCTTGTGGGAGTGTGGAGGCAGGACCAGGAGCTCCCTGGGACCCCTGTGCCGCACAAAACACCCAGCTTGGGAGGCAGGGACTCACCACCAGAGACAGAAGCATCGCCAGGAAGGACCCGAGCGGTACCTGCAGCTGCGTGCCACAGCCCGGGGCAGCACGGGGGCAATTCAAGCACAGAGCCGTCCCGCCTCTGGAGCGGGCACTTGTTTGGGCTGCACCGTTGCGGTTTACAAGCAGCACGGTTGCAGGGAAAATGGTCCAGGGGGTCAGAAAATTCCCAGAACTGGAACTTGTCAAGCTGATGTATTGATCTAAGTGGACTGAATAATGCTCCATCATTTATTTATGGGGAAGTGCCCGGCACACTTCACAAAATCTGGTGTTTCGCAGTCACATTACGGTAAGATTTAACATCTTGCACCTTGCAAACAGGGCGTTCGTGCAAAGGTCAGGATGTGCCTGTACCCGGRGAGTCTCACAGCTCCTGCCTGCACTGCCATGAGCTGCCTCGAGCAGCAAGGGCTGCTGTGTCACCCCGGGAGGCTGCGGGCTCTGCYGGGACCAGGCACAGACCCTGGCGGGGCCAGATCAGAGCTTCCCTGGCCTTTCTGCRAGTGTCAATGCAAGGATTTGCACCGTTAAAATCCCAGTTAGAAATTTCCAAAAGAAAAAACAAGACTGAGAAAAACCTGCTCTCATCAGGACGCAAGCGGCGGTGCAATTTCCGCAGCGGTTCTCCCTGCGGACGCCTTCCCGCGTGGCTCTGGGAGCAGCGGGARCAGGCCCTGCTCCTCCAGGGATCAGGCCCCCCGCGGATCGGCACTGACCCCCGTGACATCTTCGCAATGGAGAAAATGACTTTGTGACAGCRAAAGTATCTTCTTCCTCTTGTCATGTCAACTGTGTGCCGTAAATGCCCCAAATAAGCATTTCCCTCCACTCACCTCGTTCAGCTGCCTTCATGATGGGGTGTCAAGGTTTTATATCACTTTGTCCGCTGGCAAGAAAAAAAGGTCACGTCTACCACTAAGTGGGCTTTGGAACACAGCTCAAAATGCTTTCAGCAAAGCCCAATAACCTTAAGTTTCGGGGCAGGGGTTGTCTTAGACGCAGGCTCTGCACAGCACCCAGGCCAGCAGCAAAGCCCTCACCACCCTGTTTTAACTGCGAGTAATTCAAAACCCAGCGCCAGGATGGGAGCTGGGAATTTCTGCTGGCATTTCCTGCTGTGGAAACCTCCGGATGCTGTCTGAGACAACGGCAAACCCAAGGCCACCACTGAGGGCCTGTTGCCACATGTGGTGGTAGCACGGAGCTGGCATYGGAGCCCGATGCATCCACGTAAGGACAGGTGACCATCAAGCAGAAGCTCCAACCTGCAGCTGACAGCTCTGCTCCATGTGGAAGGAAGCTCATCCATCCAGATGGGGACACCGAGCCCTGTCCCCAGCCTTGGTGGCATCTGCCACGCAGACACAAGCCCAGCTGGCTGCCGGGAGGCAGGAATTTCGCCCGCTCCATGCAAACCCCGGTATAACTCACCCCTTTTAAGCAGTTTAGTCAGAAGTGCTGCTGCATTCACGGCTTTTCAAGTATTTTTGAATCACTTACAAAAGCAGGATTAAACGATCAGGAATTCCATTTAATAGGACAAATAAAGAAATAACAATCTACTCCATCAGCCCTGCAAAAGGCAGGTTTGATTTAAAAAAAAATAAAAAAATAAGTATAAAAGAGGGAGAGAAAAAAGGAAAAGGGGGGTGGAAAAAAAGGATAATGTGTGTTTACTCAAGCAAAGAAAAAAATATTTAAGTGATGTAGGGGAGAAGATTGCAGTAACTAGTGAAGAATAACATCGTCTGCTTTGCTGTCAAATCACACAAGAATTTCAGTAATAGATTCTCATTCTGACACTCAATTCAATTCGAAGGTGATCCTGCTTTATCCCAACACATCAAATATTAAACACTCGTATTAGCCAGGGTGCCGTCGCCTTTCCCGGCTTAGACGCGGCAGGAAGCTTTTCCCCCTACTTTCCCTCACTCGCTATAATATTCTCAATGTTATCTAAACATGCCTTCATACACTGGGGCTCCTTATCAATGCCATTCGGGGAGGGGGGTACTTAAAACGGTATTAGTTGGGGGGGCTTTTATTATTATTATTTCCAAAGCTTTTCAATTTCGTGCGGAAAAAGCTTAGAGAAAAGGAGGGAGGGGAGGCAGCGAGAGAAGGAGACGGAGCGAGGGAAAGTATAAGAAAGGGAAAAGCAGCCAGCAGCTCTTGTTTGACTGATGCCTTTCAACAAGGGCAGTCTAGCTTGTCAAAGCCCGGGCTCGAGATGAATTGGCATATCTATTCAGCCTGCCTCTGGATGTCATGCAATACAGTTTCATATTCCCAGATAAGGCATGATAAGCAATTGCTGCCCTGACACCGACTCCATCCATCCCTGCCTTGCTGTGCCCGCGCCCGGCTGCAGTGCACATCGCCGCCGCGCCGCTAACAAGAGGGGTTTAATTTGGGCAACCACGGCAGTGCGGGGGCCTCTGCA